CCCAGCCGGTTTGGGAATGTCTAGGGATTCCCCAGAATGAGCCCTGGAGAGGTCTGGTCCACTGGTGAGCATTTCCCTAAATCACAAACGTTCATTTGTTTCTCAGGTTTGGTTTACTAGGTTTGGTCTAACTAAGCAGTTTAACAATTTTTGGTAGGACTTCACGCCCAGGAGAATTTGAACAACAATTCTCCATTTTTTCGCATATCTGGACACCCCTTAGTGGGAACTACAAGTGTCATTGGCCAAATACCAGCTTTTATTGCATATTAAAACTCCCCATCATCACTTAAATCTCTCCTCGTTTAAATTATGATTTATTTTAGTTGGGGAGCAGAGAATTTGGAATATAGAATATGATTTGGATTTATGATCCAGTTGGGTTCATCATCCTTTTTTTTTTTTTTAAGCAAACTACAATAGAGATTTCGATAAAGGAATGCATAATTGTGCATTAATAAATATGTGGGAAATGGTGGGCGGGTGCTGTGGAATGTTCCGGTGGGCTTGCGGCTTGAGCGTCACCCCTGCCTACTGCCTTTCCGCTCTTTCTTTCCTGGGATGTAGTTACATACACCGAGGCAGCAGGTCACGGCCCGGAGGCCCCGGCTGTCACTCATAGCCCCCCCCGCACTGGGCACCTCACCCTCACTTGCAGTCGGGAAGCCCATTGTACGAATGTAAAAAGTGATCCGAGGCGAGGCTTCGGGACCAATCACGGCTGAGATTGGGGGTCACCCTGGCCTGCTTTGATCCAGCCCGCAGGGGCACCGCTAGACATTTTGGGCCCCCAGTCCAAATATGTTTCAAATTTTTTAGGGCCCCAGTTTTTCCAGCTCCCCCCCTTTACCGTGACCCTGCTAGCGGGAGGTGGATGAAACTTGGTCGGTGACTGACAGCGTATAATAATCCCGGCAGCTGTGGGGTCCTTCACCCCCCCAGTTATGGGCTTCCGCTCAGGCCCCCGGTTAGCAGCCCCCCCCCCATTCACGCCCCCCGCAGACGTGTGGGTGTGGTGCTGCTTCCTCTGTCTGTCCGTAATCTGACATTCTGAGGCACCGTGGGCCGTGGGGGCTTCTCTCCCCCCGTTCCGCCATTCAAATCCTGCAGAAGGAGAGACTGTTCGGACAGCGGAGCACCGAACCTCTTTTGCGGCCATCCCGTGTCTTAGGCGACTGCAGCGAAAAAAAATAAGGAAATGCATATATTTAAATTCAGCCGGTTTGAATATGTTAATATCTAGCTCCAGACCGACTCGCTTTTCCAGGTTGTGTTACCCATAATTGCTGCCCACAGGATTTTTTAAATAGAATATTTTAGCATGCGGCCTGTAATGCTGCCGTTCCTGGACTCGCTTTTCTGCTGGAGATATGCTCAAGGGCCGGCTGCTCATCGGGCTCAGCAGCTTTTAAGATCCCCTGCCCGGGAGTATGTCCAGGGGCGGAGCCACAGGGGCGTTGGCCCCTGCTGAAAGCTGATTGGCTCCCTGAAAGTCCCTTCCCCTGTCACTCACCAATTCAAGCATATCATTGGCTAATGATAAGGTTGGCCCGTCTGTATGAATTATGGCTCCTCTTATGCCCCCCACCTTAAAATATGCTGGAATCGCCCCTACCCCTGCTTACATTTCCTTTTGTTTAATGTGGCTTCTGTTATTTCTGCCAACCAGATCATGCACAGAAACCTCCCATTTGCCTAAAATCTATGCGCCCGCATAATTCTGCTCAACATCCCATATCTTCTGGAAGCGCGGATTGTAATCCGTCTCCCTTCCTTTTCTGAATGGGGATATTGTTACCGCTAAAGCGTTCAGTTATTCCGTTATGTCTGTCGTTCACTCGAATATCCATCCTCCTCCTTTTCCCCCATTCCTTCATCAGCTCCTAGTTATCCTAAGGCGGGTCGTCCCTTTATTAGAAAGGGGGGAAGTGGATTGACAAGGGCGGGGTATCGACGTGGGGGGGCGCATAGATGCCAGCAGCCTTGTTGAAATTGATTTTTAAATTTTTATTTCGCTTCATTTCTTTCTTTAAGAATGCAGGCAGCTGAATGTTTGAACTCGCTTCCTCGTTAGCCGTTGTCTGGGAATTAAGAGGTTGAGTTGGGTTTAACGTTAACCGTATCTTTGCGAGGAAGGGGAATCTGGCAATTAAGGTAATCTCTAATTAATGAACTTGCCGGAGGAATCGAGCATGGCCGGTAAATGCCCCTCCCCGCATTGCAGAACTTCCAGATTTTAATCTGCGGTGCTCAGATCCGGTCCTGCCCCCAGCGTGTTCTGATTATTACAAATGAAGGCCATGACTGTACTTTCAAATCATTGTCTGAAAGGTCTCACCGAAGAATGTATAGGAGCAGATTGAATTGACCTGGAGCTACGGAGCTCCTTAGACGCTGATGTCACACCCATGACCTCAGACCTGAGGGGACACGGTGAAGTCCCCGCAACTTTATAATGGAAATAAAGGAGCTGGACACCATAGCTGACACTGAAATACAACTTTATTCAGAACCATAGATCATAGGGGACATTACAGTGCTCTTTACTGTATTGCGCTGAATCGACCCGCCGCATATTGGCGGTGAGTTGTCGATTGGCCTCTGTTACCGTGGATACCCCGCCCCCCCCACTCCTTTGTGCTAGGGCCATGCCCTCTTAGCATTTGCTACATTGGGATTGGTCGGGAGTGCCTGGCTGTCCCCTCTTTAGACTATTGGGGGGGTGGGGGCTCTTTTCAGGTTTGAGACACTTTGTCAGGAGGCAAACCTTCAGCCTCTGCGGTGCAGGACACGGCTGTCCGCTCGTGTTTTGGTTGTGGTGGGAGTAGCGTTTCACGTGAATGGCTGTGTCGATGTATCACATATATTCTGACCATCCAGGGAGAATGGACTTTCTGTCATATGGGGGGGGCGGGTTCCTAGCTGGATTTACCCCAGGGGTAGGGCAGGAGTGTAGGTGGCGGTTCGTAGGTACCTCTGCTTAATCAGTGCACTGCAATCAGCCCCTCCTCCTATTTGATTGTGATCATTTTACCAAGACCCTGTATGCTACTGGCCACATTGCCCTCTGCTGGCAGGGCAGAGAACTGTGTGATGCCTGGCTTCCACAAGGGAATTAGTAAACAGTCTTCAGTCAACAAGGACCGACGTCATTGTTCACCATTTCAAATGACGTATCATCTAGTGGGGGAAAACAAAACAGTTTGGATGCATGTTCTGAAAAATAGATTTAAGCCTTTAAATGAAATAAACTGAGAATTAGCACAATGCATTATTTTGCATTAAAACTCAATATGATCTTTTAAATCAGTGGTAATGAATTGACACAATGTTCCTCTCACCATGTGAAACTGAGCTATTGTTTTTTTTCCCCCTATTCTTCTTCTTTGTCTTAACACCTCCCAACAGACAGGGGGAGCTACTCCAAATGCTGTCAGTGCATTCACGTGGCCTACTGGAGCTTGGCAGTAGCAGCAGGCCATGTGAGATCCCTCCGCTGCTTGGTACTGTCTTGGTTTAGCTTTCTTTGACTGTGCTCTATTGATGGGTTAAGTTGCGTACATTAGCTTTAGGTTAGACCCCAAGTATCGCTGTAAACAGCACAGTTTAACACTGTGACTCTGTACCAAGTCCTGCTAAACCTCATAGGAGAGGATGCTGTTCAAACTGCATAGCTTCTGGCTTTACTTGTCACCTGTCACAGCTCTGTGTCACATTTATTCACATAAACCACTTTTATGTGGTTTAATGCCCCAAGGTACAACAGGAGTTCCCCTTCAGAGTCTGCCCCACAATCAAAATATCAGGGGTTGCTGTGTCTGACCTATTATCCTGTGTGATTAATGAACTATGTGAGTGGTGGTGGAACTTCAGGCCAGGTACAGAAATAGTACCCAGTGTTTTACTTGGATGTTTGTTTTAGAGCATTGGTTCTCCACCCGGTCTTTGGGGGACTACTGGGCAGTCCACGTTTTTGGGCCCCTAATGTCCCAGTAGGGAGCTGGGAGGGAGCGAAAATGTGGACTTTCTGGTGGTCTCAAAGGACCGGGTTGAGCAGCTCTGTTTTAGAGATTCATTTCACATTCTGGCCATAAATAGCTGTAATATAAAGTGCGTAATCATTGCTGTGCCACTGAGAAACGAACAAAGAAATTATAAAACAGTACTATTAACCCAATCAAGCGATAAAAATGCCATCATATATGTCTCTGTGATCAAGCATGTCTATTTTGCAGAAATATAAATTTAAAAATACTTTTATTGTCTGAGCCTTAAATTATATAGTATATTGGCAATGTCTTATAGAAGATTCAAGGTGCATAAATCATGTGTTTGTATGATATGGATAAGATAAAGAATTCAGCTTCCTTTCACACATGTATTAGGGTACCCGAGAAGTTCAGACTTTTCAAAGATTTTTCATTTTCCCCCAATAGAGCCCAGGCAGGCTATTACTGGACCTTATAAAACCAGAGGTGTCTCTCATACTCCATATCTCGGCTCCCCATTTTTTTATTTTTTAATGTGAGTGGTTTTCAGAGCTCCTCCAGTATACGCAAGGACACGATGGAATGAAAGTGGAGCCCGCTGCGTCACAGATGGGGGTCCTCTTTTTTTTTTTTAATGCGGGCAATGCTCTGGACACCTAATACCGCCGTTTACACGCAAAGGTAAACCGAGACGGAGCATGCTATTACCTCAACCGGTTTATGGGCAGTGGTGTTTACTGGTTGGGGAGCTCAACCCAGCACATCTATGGGGGCTGGGGGGGGGGGGAACAAAATGACTTGGTACATTAGCTTGAGGCTGTCGCTAATGTCCCCTGAAGTTTGTATAGTGTAGCCTACACAACAGTTGCATAATACTCGAC